CCAGCATTAATTACACCAGATATCATGTAATTATATTCATTGTTAGTTTCAAAATTTTCTCTCAGAGAAAGATGCAGAACATGGAGGTGTATTGTACCATGCAAAAGTCATGTAGAGCTTCTGAACACATTGAAACTAAGGTTGCAGGGAAAAGGAAAGCTGTGTGTGACATGTATTCTGAACTGAAAGCATTTGAAGCAAAACAAACCATTTTTGTGAAGCAAATTAGTGGAAGTACTTCTCATGCTGTAATGAACTGAAATTTCAGAAGGATGGGAATTTACAATTCAATGATGAAAGCACTGAACCCCATTGCACATGGAATTCCAGAACATATACATTTAAATGTATATATATTTATCAGAACTGATATAATTGCCAACCTAAAGAAATTTTCAGCAGGCATGCTCAGAGTCTTTGGCACCACATGCATCTGTGAACATTTTTTTTCCAAAATGAAACTTGTAAAATCCATTGTAGGTCCAGACATACAGATGAACAATTTACGTGACATTTTAAGGGTGCCTGTCACAAACCTTGGCTTGCACATTAATGTCTTGGCTAACAGAAAACAACCACAAAAATAACTCTGACCTGGCATGCATGTGTAGCTTGGTAAAAGGATTTCACAGTAAAATACTGTTCCAAAATGGATTACATTCAAGTTAACGTTTCTTCATTGACCTCTGAATGTTTACTTTGGATCTAAATTGGTAGGTTAATAATCTTGTTACATTTTGATTTAAGATATGGCCCTCTTGAGGCATTGGGCACTCTAATGCAGACCCCATGTCCTAGAAGCTTGGGGACTACTGACCTAGAGGATCAGAAAAAAGTGTGAACTGTGTACCACCATGTGGAATAGCTTGGCATGGGTAGGATAATTATCTTGCCATAAAGACTGTATAAATCCTCACACCTCTTTTTGCATATAAACATAACCTTGCTACTTTGCTTTCTGGAAAGCTCATCCTTTGAGAGCTGTCAAGAGAAACTAAGGGGGAAACTCACTTTGGAGCCTTTTCTGGGCAATGTCCAGGGTCAGCATGTTGACAGCAGGCTCCACCCTGAACATTGCCCCAGCTGATACTTTAAACCCTCTCAGCAGTATAAATGTGGCTAATTTTTAAAGGTTTATTTTTCACAGAGAAAGGTAAAGAAAAAAGCAATGACAGCCCCTCTAAGCTGCCACTCAGGCACTTTCAAGGTGGCTGTTCAAACAGAATTTGCAAACGTTGGCTGTGAAGCTAGTGTTCACAATTTCTGGGGGGAAAACAATAGGCAAAGGGGAAAATAGAACAGGGGAGAGACAACTCATTCCCAGTTTGGTTTCTCTTACAAAATTCATGGGAGGACAGAAAGGGAAGTGGAGGAAGGGAGATCACCAAGGGTCCACAGTGAGCCTTATTATTTGTCAGGTCCACTTGACAACTGAACCACCATGGCTTATTGCAAGGGTGGTAAACATAAATGTAAATGAATAAAGACTGGGCAAATTCACATGATCACTGGAAGCTCAACAAGCCATGTGACTTGTTTAAGGGGCATTTTTGCTGGCAGTAACTCACTTAATTACCTACTAGACACAATTTGTTATACTATCCCAAACCTGACAACATGGTTTGTTTGAAAAAGAAATAACCTTTACTTATCCCATGGATTATTTGTGGAGCTTCTCCCCTCAAGTAATTTCACCTAGGTTCAGATGGATGAAACAGTCTGCAACTGGTTATGCAAATTAGATTTGGTATGTACCAGCATCTGCCACAGCATAAACAAGCCACAGTGGCTTGTTCCCCCTCAGTCCTCCAAAGAGTATCCCAGGGACCCCAGCAGCAGGTCCAACTTGTCTTCTCCTCCCCACCACAACTGCTTTTTTTTCTTTCTTACTTTTTGGAATTTACTGATGACAATCAGCTCTGCCTCTTCTCTGCATCTGATCTAGGTGAGGCAGTCAAGATCCTAAATTGTTGGAGTGATGAACTGGATGAGGGATAATAAATTGAAGCTTAATCTAGACAAGATGGAGGTGCTATTGGTAGTGAGAGCCCTGATCCAGGGGGATGCAAACCACCCTGTCCTGGATGGGGTTGTAGTCTCCTTAAAGAACAGAGTGCAGAGTCTGGGGGTACCCTTAAATATGGTCTGGAAACTTCAGTAGGGAGAGAATAGGGCAGCTCATCTGCTGACATGGACAAAAAGAAATGAACCTGTATTACCTGCACTGAAGTATGGGCCCACTTTAAGATGCTTATGCTAACTTATAAAGCCCCACATGGCTTAGGGTCTGGATATCTAAAGGAGTGCCTTCTTCCATACACACTTACCTGGACCCTTAGATATCTACAGAGGTCCTTCTCCATGAGCTACCCTTGAAGTAAGTAAAGAGCGTGGCTGCAAGGGAAAGAACCTTTTGGGCCATGACACCCCATCTGTGGAATCTACTCCCCAGGGAAATATACTTGGCACCCATGTTATGTTTCGGTGCCAGATTAAAACTTTCTTATTTTCTCACCATTCTAATTGTTGAGTATGTTATTTGGTTTTATATTGGTTTTTAAATTGTTTTGGTACATGTGGAATAGCTGTTATTATGTATTGTTTTGTTCATTGTTTTTTAAAATGCCTGTTGAATTTTATTGCCATGTATTTTATGAGAGGTGAGTCTGTTTTAAATCTGTTTCTAAATTAATTGGTATATTTTTAATTTTATTCTGTTCATGTTTCTGGGAGTGTTGTGCTAATCAAACAGTATAGAAAGGCCTTAGATAAATAAATCACAAAAGCTGGCTTGAAGGCTACTGACAGCCCCTCCAAAGTGCCCAAGCGGCACCTTGCAGGGACTTTGTTTTTTTCTGTTAAAAATAAACTGCACCCCTTAAGGTGTGCAGATACTTGGAGACCCTTTTTTCCAGTCTTTTACAAGTGCCTGTGTACTTATAACAATCCAAAATGGAAACCCTCAGCTGAGCAAAGTGCGTAAGTGACCTGTGCTTTTGAAAAGCAGGTGGTGATATTTATACCATTTATGGGCAAGTTTCTGAGTGTGCACATGTGTGTGTACACTCCACTGTCCTAGGTTAATCTCACTACTCCACTGTCCTAGGTTAATCTCACTTTTCCACCAGTTTTTGAGATTCTAGCTACATGGAAACCATGAAAAAGTTCAGCTCACTTCCTTTCAAAAGGAGTTACTAGTTTTGACATGTAGCTCCTTTTGAAAGGGGTTTTTGGCAGGGCTCCCCATGGCTTCTTGACAGGGATATACAAATACAGGCAATCCCACCATGCCCTTTTCTGACCACAGATCACTGGTGCCTTTCATTTGCCTTGACATAGGGCCAGTATTATTCAATGTGCTTATCTGAGTAAGTTAAAGGAAAAATGGAACATTAAATAGTCCATTATGGTTGATATAATAAAGGCACAATTAATAGCAGGGGCAAGAAATGTATTTTCTCTTTGGCTTGGATATGATGCTGCATATTTACAGAGAATAAAGGCACACACCAAATGCAGATGGCTCTAAGACTATGTACCTCTCCTTTACAGTCTAAAGGGGAACTGTGCTAGTATCAGATAGCCATAATGTTTGCTCACTTCTGCTACCATGTTCCTTCCAAGACCCCAGTGTGACTGTGTAAGAAGGGGTACATTAAACTTCTTGGTACTTCTACTACTTCTAACCTAAGCAATAGCTGACTAGATGCATTCTAATCCAGGAATATTTCAAGAGTTCAAGAATTAATCCAAACATAAGGGGCTTTGGAAAATAAGAGCTAAGGCCATTATATTATGAACCTCCAAAACCCACCAAAAAAGAAGTGTAGGTCCAGGCAAGTTTCTTAAAATAACAATACACATGAATAAACAAGAATATGAGTCTGCCTTCCATACAATTACCCTATATTATTAAGGACTTAACCAAACTTTGAATCTTAAATTACAATATTTACTCAATGGATTGTATTATATAAAATGTGAGATTTCAGTCTCAACTCTTTATTTAAGTAAAGGAAGAAAGGACCTATCTTGCTGGGTTATCAGGAGGTTGAGAAAGAAAAGTATACATCTTTGTACACTTATGTCTACATAATTTGAAGATGATTTGGATACTTCAACTGATCCAAAATATAGGACAGGCTTAGAGATTCCTGTTGGACTACTGAGCAGCATATAAATAAATGAAATTAATTAATTGGTACTGGAAATTTGATTTATTTTCAATCACTCTCTTGTATGAATAAAAGCAATGAAGTATTCTCCTACAGTAGGTTAAAGGAAAAACTTGATGTGTCTCTGACTTCAACGGCAAGTTAGAAGTTCCAAGCTTCTGGATATTATTTCTCCCTATGTTAAGCAAAGCTAAAAATCCTACTTCTATTACCTGAATGGAAATACAGATATCTGTGAAATATTAACCAAACAGATACAAAATCTATGTCTTACCATCACTACAATACTTGCAATTTCTTTTCCTTGAAATATATTGACTGTGCCTACATTACAACCTGTCTTTTCCACTACGATTTGTTCCTATTTGTCCTTCTATATGATATATTTCCAGTCGAGATAGACACCTGCTTATGAAACTGATATGCCACCACCTGAAACACCTGGAATGCATATACAAGCAATTCTGCCTCAAATTTAAGTAGCAAATAGAGCACCTCAGATTTACAGTAGAAATGGGCAGCTTGAAAAAGAACATTATGTCCTATTGCTTTAACAGGGTAGAGTGTTTTCTGCTCTGAGCTAGATACATGAAACTTGTTACAGCTGCACAATTACCCACATTTTGTCTTCCAAGCTTTAAAATGAATTGCATTTCCCAAGTTTTAAAGTCTGAACATACTTACTTCAGTGGATTAATTTCCCCAATTATGTAAAACTACTGAAGTGGCCTGCAGTATCCTGCTGAAAACGCAATACTGCAAAAAGGTTTCTTCCAAGCTACATGGATAGCAAGGGGCATATGCAACAAAGGCCATCCTTCTCACCTGTTCTGTTATCTCCATGTTTTCTCAGTTGCTTCTCAGGAACTCTTCCTGCCCCTCCTGAGGGAGAGCAGCAGTTAGCAAGTTTAGAGTTTCTCAATATGTATACAAGTACATCCTTTCACATTGTTTTGTGCTACAAAACCAATTTAAAATAGCCCACTTAACAATGATGATAACTATTGATTTCTCAAATTAAATAGCATGGATTTTCCTTTTCATTCAGGAGAAAATTTGAATTTCAGCGTTCATTACTTATCTTGAAACTGCAAAAACCAGCAGCCTGAAAATTCCCATTTTGAGCATTTTTGGTGTACTAGGCTTGAGCTACCTAATCATGCCACTGCTGCTTCCACAAACATAGTGTCAAAGACTCTGCATTCCTCAGTGAAAAAATACAATATAATAGAAAATATTGCTATTATACGTTTCATATCATGTTCTTTTAAGTCCATGAAAACAAATATGGAAACCACCACCAAAAGTCAATCCAGGAATCATTTAAATATAGTTGCTACTGTTGGACAGAACAAATCCTTTCCCGGTATAGCTTTTATATATTATCAGTTCAATTAATGTGATGTGACAACAGGCATTCTAGTTGAGAATTTGCAGGGGGGAAAGATAAAAAGTACTTTTGAGAAACTAGCCTTGGAAGAATTAATCTATTGCTCCCTCCTTTCAGTATACACCTGGCCAGTAAAAATACACCTGGCCAGACTTGCCATTCCAAAGGAGTCATGATAACTAGTGACAAAAAGAAAAATTTCATTCATAGATATTAGAGGCAATGAAGAGAACATCTGCAATGCTCCAGTAAGGGATCAATCCTACAACTCTAGACCTTTTCTAAGAGGTTGCAGAACAGTTTCAATTCCTAGCTCTGAGGTGGGAGATAATATTCTGACCTCCAAGCTGGGAATCAGCACTTCAATTCCTTCGATACCCCACTGCAGCCAGTGCAAAAAGAAACAGCATATCCTGAAGCCATTCCAGATAACTTCCCTGCTTCTTCCCAAGTGCACCAGCCACGAAGTCTAAAAAGCCTATCTAGAAAAAGTATGGTGGATAGGAAAGTAGAAATCACCTCCATCAGTCTTCCCATGCAGCACTAGGTGCCTATAAGCTTCCATATTTGTGGACTTACATGCATCCCAACAGGACCGAGCCCTAAAACAGGCTTATTTTGCAGTGCTTTCTCCTACATGTTCAATATCATCATCAAATTATAATGCTGTTGGACACAGAGGTTGCTTACAGAGGCTTTGTAACTTCCCTCACTTGAGGGTTTTTTTTAAATAGGAAAGACATTACATGTAATAGTTTAGATTAAAAATTGCAATGCCTGGACCAAATCCAGCCCTTGAAACAATTTCATCTGATCTCTTGGTGATCCAAACAAATTTTAACTTAGGTGTAGAAGAACTTTTTGTAAATTTTGTACATAGAAAAATCAGACTTCAAGGTACATCTTGCATCAGAAGTGAAACAAAAGTCCACAAAAATGTAGTACATAACAAATCTGTTAGTTTGTCAGATGCCACAAGACTTTTGTTTCTTTTACAGTACAGACTAACACAGCTACCTGTCCAGAAATGCTATACACTTTGTAACACCTCTCTGAATGTCATAATACATGCACTTGTCATGGTGAAGCTTTGCTGTTAGACAGTTCCACTTAACACTACAGCCTCATCACCTCATCAGTTTCTGCCAAAATTTTATTTCTCAATACATAGCAGTGTTTGACGAACAAGAATGAAGAAACTGGCAATTGTAACATCGTGTGATATGCTTTGTAATGCAGGATAGAACTTGGGCTTCATGACAAGCTGGGTCTCTTCCAACTTCACTCCCTCACAGAATTCTAATGAATCCAATTCCAGCTAAATACACTGTGTAAGACAAAGAACTCTAGAAAACCATCTGATCTAATCACATTTACTTCAAAACTGCATATTTAAAGGCCAGACTCAAGCATACCAAAGTATATACAAAGAGCTCAAACTATGATCTCCAGTACTATAACCTAACACAATTAGGAATATGCATATATTGAATATGTAGTTGAACTCATACATTCTATCAGTATATTCAAAACTAGATGTATACGTATAAAGCTGTTGCTTACCTGTGATGGGAATCAGTTTCCAGTGTATTTCAGAACCCTCAATGTTATTTGAGTTGTAATGTTGCCTATGATAGTTCTGTTCAATGGGCGTGCTAGGACATGGGCTGTTGCAGCCATCAAAGCTACTTACACTTCCTGTGCTTGTTTCCTAAACAAATACATAGTTGCTTCAATTGGTAATTATACTTCCATCATATTAATTCTGTTAAGTTTAGCCATCTTAATATAAAATTATGTTAAGAGCATCTACAAAGTCAACAAGTCTGATTATGTATCAAGTCACAACATATGCAAAAGCATTCTTTGTTCAACTGTTTACAAAACAATGTTCTAGCAGCCTGATATTTGGCATGTTTACTCATAAGTACAATGGTAAAGGGGCTTACTCCCTAGGAATGGTGTATCAAACTGCATCTAAAATACTTTAAAGATTGATTTTGATGCTTTACTCACACATTGCTGAGATTCATACTATCACCACAGCTCTCTGGGCCCTATTTAATGGGTTGCAGTAGATGTTGGCAGTCATTCAGCCCCCAGCAAAGGGTGGGCAAGCTTTGTCATGTCATCTAAACTCAAGCAGCACTGTTGGAGGGTTATTTGAGGGTTGCTGAAGCACCATCGGACAATGAATTATTCGAGTGTTGTTCCTACTGCCCAGATTCAGATGGCACAACAAAGCATGGCAACCCTGCCGGGGGTTCAATATTCAAAATGGCCACTGGAGTTGCATCGGAACTCACAGTGGTGGAGCAAGTATACACACCACAGCCCACCACATCAGGGTAGTGGCAGGCAAGAACAATCTTGAGACGACCAGAAAAGGAATCAATTCTCAAATCTGTTGTTTGGTGGTGTTTGCACAATTACTTGAAAGGCTATAATATCTGGGTTGAAAGGCTATAATATCCAGTATGAATAACTGGATTTCCTACAAGTTATTCCTTTTTTCTCAGTTAGAGGGAACCTGACTTGTAGCAATATCCTCCCAGAATCTGAAGGTGGCCTAAGCTAACCTTTCTGTCTTTTCCTAGAAAGAACTCCTACCTTCCTCCCTGTCCCAAGCAGACATGCAACTTATTTCTGCTTTGCCTAATGAAAAAATTTCTAACAAATTAACAGCATTCAAGAAAAACAAGAAAAACAGTGCAGAAAATCATTACTAGGTCTCAGCTGACTGCCATAGTTCCCATTTAAAAATGGTAGGACATGAGTTGCACAACCCAGTGGAGCTTTTCCCAGTGATGTGCTTGCAAATTTAGTACTTTGTTTAGTAATTCCTTTAGTGATTATTATAGTAATTTTAACTTCAGCAATTATTTTTCTGCAGAAATTTTTCTGTTCTAAGTCCATTACTATTGCCAATACAATATTAGGCAAGCTTGGTAATTTCAACACTGTAATTAACGTTTTTCAGGTGATTGTCTTTAGCCACCTTGGGAAAGAATACATTTGTTTTTACTGAAATACATGGAGGCCTCATTGTGAAATGGAACTAATCAAAAGTACTAGTGAAACTGAAGGTGCCCTACCAACCTCAGTGGAAGAGAGCTGAGATGGACTGTTGGAACAAATCATGATTCTCAACATATCATACACAATTCTTCAGCTGCTAAAATTAGCTAGTGCAGCTTCCCTGAACTGGTGCCCCCCATGCTGGGAATTGTAGACCAATAAACTGCTGAGTTGCTTGATCGAAAGGTTGACAGGTCGAATTCGCACACGGGTAAGCTCCCATGCTTTGTCCCAGCTCCTGCCAACCTTGCAGTTCAAAAGCACACAAATGCAAGTAGATAAAAAGGTACCACTTCGGTGGGAAAGGTAACAGCATTCCATGCACTTCAGTGTTGTTAGTCATGCTGGCCACATGACCACGGAAACTGTCTGTGGACAAACGTGGCTCTCTCGGCTAGGAAACAGAGATGAGCACCACCCCCTAGAGTCAGACATGACTGGACTTTAATGTCATGGGGAAACCTTTACCTTTATATATGGAGGACTCCAGGTTGAGGAAAGCTGAATTAGAATGTCATCTAACTACCCATCACCTTCTGAACTCAGAAAATTATGAGCATCCAGTCAAGGATGTGAGACATAGAATTTAATTTCAGTTATCTTCATCTATTTTGCCCCTGCTTGCAAGGAGAGGATGAGGCGCCATTTGGATTCCACTTAGCCTGGCCAAGCTTAACTCTTCCCCACCTCTAGAATGCCCCCAAGTCCTGCCCTCAAAGTCACACTTGCAACTTCGGAGCTGCAGTCAGGATAGAAAATATCACACTGGCTCTAAGGGTGGAGGAAATGTGTTTTGTGTTGGGATTCTATCATTTCCAAGGTCAGCAATGGAATCCCAGTCTCTCTTATGACTGCCTGGAACAGTGTTCAGCAACCTTCGTATTGCGCCCTTACAGTGTGACACTCTGGTGTCAAGGAAAGGATGTGCGACTGTGTTTAAATGTTTACAAGTATTCTAACAAAAATGTCTACATCACATTTAGATTACATTACATGTACTTTAGCTTTTTCCTCAAATATTTCAGATCCCATACATATGGTTTGCTGGGACAAAATTGGGCACTAGATTTTAGCTTTACTGTTTATTTTGCTTGTAACTAGTAAACATGCTAAGTTAGATCACTCTCTGGTGATTTTCTAATACAAAGGACTATAGTCAAATTAACATAATTTGCATTGGAAAACTTAGGTCAATACTTGTATCCCAAACTGAGTACAAGCCATTTTGAGTCTTTTCCTGGTAGCATTTCCAGGAAGCCAAGATGTCAGCATGCTTACCCACTGGGAGCCCACAGGAGCTTCCATTACATGATTGTCATGTCAATCATGATGTCAATCCACTGTATCATTCAGCTCAAATATGTCTACATGACTGACAAGGAATCTTTCAGAGCCCTAACTGGAAATACTAACTGGGGATCAACTGCTTGCAAAGGATATGCTCTATAAGCTTCCTGGAGAACTCAGGTAGAAGGGTGCTGTTACCCTCATATCCTGCCTGTGGAATCCTGTGTGCAGAGGATGCTAGACTAGATGCATCCTTTGTAGCACTTCTTATGTTCCCAAGTCAATCCTTGTAAAGAATTCTGTCCTAACATAATTTGCATTGGCCGCAGGCAAACAAACAAAAATATAAATTGCCTCATGTTATTTTGGCTTTAGATAGCAAAGTCTGTCAAAGAAAGGTAGGGGAAGGTCCCCATAAGAAGAGATAAGAACATTAGGCAAGTATGCAGTTAGATGTCCTCCTTCATTGAAGAAAAAGGAAACTAACTGGTAGCATATCTCTAGAAAATATATTTGTGTCTCAGCAGATATTCAAATTAAAGCTTTCCCCCTCACTGTAACTGACATAAATGTTCTTTACATATGCAGTTTTACTGATACAAAAACATCCATTACGGAAAAATCATCCTTGTCCTCATACTGTAAGAATAATCATGCTGAATCAGACCAAAGTTAATGTAATGCAGCATTCTGTTCATACAACGGCCATCCAGCTGTCCACAGGAAAACCCACAAGTAGGATTTGAATGCACCAGCACCCTTCTCAGCCATGTTCTCCTACTATTTTACTGCTATCCTACTTCTCTAATAAATGTACTATAAGAGAATGTTGCATCCTCAATGCCTTGCTCAACCTATTCTTTTATTTCTCAACCCTTCAAAAGAGGTGAAGGCATTTACTAAGTCATTGCAGCCAGAATTTGAAGATGCAAATGCTAAAACAAGCCTGCTATTATATTCACAAAGTATATTGAGATGTTTAAAACTAAGTATGCCATTCTAAAATCAAGGGGTTCTTACTTTTAAATGAAGCATACGATCAATGTCTGCCTCATTATTAGAAACATCCACAGAATAAGGCAAGCATGGTGCACTCGTTTCCAGCTTGACTACATTTTGAGGGTCCACAGGTCCTTCCTCAGGTTCTTCCTTGACTGGATTGGAGTTATACCCAAGAGTATGCCTTGAATAGCTTTCTGCTGAAGCTTGTTTAACGAATCTTGCCAATGGCAAATCTGCATTAGTTAACATTTCTGAAAGTAGTTTCAGGACATCAGTTAGGTCAGTAACAGGAGGTTCAGAAACATTTTGCTGTCTCAAATCAGTGTCACGTCCACCAAGATCAGCTATTACTGAATCAAGGGATTCTGATGCCCTGTCACCTAGAAACCAAGGGTGGGAAGAAAAGAAGAGAAAAGCAGGAAGTTATGCTAAAAGTTGTCTGCCATTAATTAGTCAGCTGACATAGCAATAGATTGGGGAAAACCCTTTCTACACTAACAGTTTGAAGCTCATGAAAAGGGCTGCACTGGCATAAGGAAAGCCTTCTTTTGTATAAATACTGCCACTGTTATATTTACACCCCTCATTCAAGTCCAATGACTTGAAAAGTACACTCACTGTTCAGAAGTTTTACCAGTACACTGATATAAATATTTATAAGTCAATTCAGGCTGAGAGCCAGCCGACATTACTACTATTCTAAAATGCAGTGCAGAGTATCCCTTATCCTCCAGTTAATTTAAAATAACAAGCAGCCAGGTGTCTCACTTCTGTGCTTTCCCTACGTCCATGAAACTGACAAAGTACACTGCATCAGGCAATAAAACCAAAGCTACTTGCTTCACATAAGCAATCCAAATGTTAAGAATGCAAAATGAAGCTTTTTGAGATACAAACATTAGACTGAATTAGATTAAGCTCATACCAATAATCCATTTCCAGCTGTGCTAGGCTGTACTGTGTCCAGAGTAGCAAATCCCTGACACAAATGGCAAGAAAACAGATGAGAAGTATGAGCCAACATTTTTCATAGTAACATGGAAGCTCTTACCTGCATACTGACAAATGTTTTCTAAAGAATTGCTAAGTTTTAAATGTTTCTGTGGGCTCTCTCTTTTACATTCTAGCTTTCGTTTCAGTCGGCTTTCATTTCTGTTGTCCTCTGTATCAGATTCTCTATCTACATTTTTCTTCTTACAGTGAATTAAGTTAATCAGTTCTTTGATACGTTCTTGTTCATAGTCCCCAGGATGACTAGGTTTTCTCTTGGCGATGACTGTTTCGCATTTAGAACCATTTCTTTTGCCACCTTTTCTCTTTGAAAAGTCAGATTCTTCCTCTGGGGTTTCATAATCTGAAACAGGACTGAACTGCTGAAGTTTTCGATTCCCATCCATTATTTTTTTGGCTTTAGAAACAGGGATCTGGTAAGCTTCAGAACCAAATATATAAGCACGCAAGGAGCTCTCAAGGTGGGATTTGTTTTTTGGACCAGGATACAGGAATCTTCTCTCATCCAAGGAGTCTTTATACTTATATAAAATAAATTCTTTATATTTACTATATCGTTTCAGATAGTCATTTATATATTTTTCCACCACATTATTTAAGTCAGGTTTAGGATCTTTACGAGATTGGACATAAGCATAATGCAGTGATTGAATAAATCTTGTAAGTTCTGGCATAACCACATGGGTTTCTTGCATTAATGATGTACTTTCACTTTTCTGTTCATTTTTGTTTGCTGTGTTCAGAATAAGGACAGAAAGAAAATCAAGACGGCAAATTAGGCATTAAGTAAGGAACATAACTTTTAACAATTTTAAACTAACTATTCTGCCTTTTCTTCGCAGAACCTAAGGCTGTGTACACAGTTCACTTTCAGATGCACACCCTGCCATTTTATCTTAGCAACTCTCTGGGGCAGGTTAGGCTGAAAGATGGTAGGGCTCAAGGTAATCTAGCAAGCTTCATAGGTATTTGAAACTTGAACTCCATAGGCTTAGAGCAACACTCTAGGCAGTAGACTTGGCTTAAACTAATGTCAAATAAATAATCAATTTCACAGCCACAAGTGATGTTATAGTTCTATCAGGAATCATAGTTCTTCCCTGCATTTAATGGTATCCCATCATTATGAGAATTATATTTTCAGGCAGCAATTTTGACAGTAAGAGTTCAAACCATGTTTATAATATTTTGAAAGGATACTTCTAAAAATACACAAATGGCACCTAGCACCTTCATATTTGTTGTTTCTCCACAGAAGTAGTATTACTAATGCATCATCATCACCATTATTATTCTAGACTCAAAAGAGAACATCTGATGAGTTCGAACCAAGTCAAAAAAGATGAAATAGTATTTTTACTATCCAAGATAAATGTGTGACAGGCAAAGCAACTGGATTTGATGTGGCTACCTAGGAGCTGATAAAGACATCTGCCAAGACTAACTGGTGAATTGCATCACTGTACATTTTTACATGACTCACTTTTTTAGAGATTGTTCTTGACATTTGAGGGGAAAGCATAATGGATTAAGACCAATGCTTTATTAACAGACTTCTCACACTGAAATTCTTCCTACTCTCCTTCTTCCTGCAGACCCACACAAGTTCTCCAAATCTGCTCTAGAGGGTTCCCTGATTCTCTAGAGCAGAGGAGAGAGCTACTCCATCAATGGTTTCCATCACTCTGCCAGAGAGCCATAATTGCAACAGACTGCCTTTAATCATTACATGATAATCTGAGTCATAAAAAGTTTATTACAAAGTACTGCAAAAGGGGATGTATTAGAATCCTCAGAGGTCTGCGGCAACATATTCACAAGACACTTTTGTGTTACCACTTCTTAAGAAACCCTTTCTGGACCAGAAGTCTACAACAAATGTCACCCAGGCAAATACCCCTTTAGGACAAGATTCAATTATAGAAGACAGTTTTTGTGAGCTGCTGTGAATAGAATACACTCAATTATTTTGATATTACCTTATTAATAAAACAAAATTAACAATAGGTATGGTTTATTATAATATAGCAAAAAATATAACAAAAGGATATAGAAATATAACAAGCATAGTGTGCCCATTAACAGCTTCCTATGAACCTGTAAGGCTCCTTGCCCCTCCTGTTCTTGTTTTTTGATATTTCTGTAATTAAAATAAATGTTTAACTAGGAGGCAGGCATGTTAGAAAGCAAAGCACCAGTCCTAACACCATGTTTGTTTTTGAGAATGCCCAACCATCCAGAAAACAGGTAAGCTGAGTGGTGGTTATATGGAGCATCATGGTGGGCTACACGGGTTGGCAGAGAGTGATGGGAGGCGTTTTGCCTCTGTGTGTACCTTAATTTGCTTGCTTGTTGTGGTGTTTGCCTGTTTGGGTACAAATATATTATTTCTGTTTGCCTGACCTTGTTCTTTTTAGCTGGTAGGTGGGAAGGCTGTGTGGTTTGGTTGCTTTGCTTAGATGTGCAAGTTCTGGTCTGACTTTTGCCTTATAATTTGGCAAGTTACTTTTATTTTAGCCTTACCAGTTTGCCTTTTGGTAAATGGGTGTTTTGCCCACAACAGTAGCCATTTTGTGAATGAGTAATCCTACCCCTATGGTAACTGTACTCACCTACCCAGAAAGGCTGAGGACTGACTAAATACCTCCTTTTTCAAAACTATACCTCCTCTGTCCAAACTCTCTCTCTAAAACTCGCAATCAAATACAGATTATACCCAATCTCAAGGGTATCAACTACTACCTACATACCATCTTACTGATTTCCTTCTTCAAAGTAATATAACCCACCACTTTTGCCAACATGCCCAAATCTACTATTGTTCAAATCCTATTTCTAATAGCATCCTTCAAGAACAGTCCTCTTCCCATTTAACTGAATATTGTTTATTGATCATTGCATTTTAACAATCATTTTACATAAGCTGCACAATAAAGTCTTGTTAGAGCATAACAAAATTTCAAACTATCTCTCAAGGAATCATAGTTGTAGTGTGATTGATATCCACCTTATCTGCAAATACAGGAGGAAGGGGAAGCATGCCTGGTGCATTTCTTGTTTAAACCTGTTGGTTCTCCTGGACTCCACAGCAGCCTTCGATACCATCGACCATGGTATCCTTCTGAATAGGCTGGCAGGATTGGAAGTAGGTGGCAGTGGTTCCGCTCCAACCTTGCCAGCCAATTCCAGAAGGTGGTGCTGGGGGACTTCGGCTCTGCGCCATGGCACCTTTCCATGGAGTACCACAGGGCTCCATCTTGTCCCCCTTGCTATTCAACATCTCCATGAAACCGCTGGGAGAGGTCATCAGGAGGTTTGGGCTGCAGAGTCATCAGTATGCTGATGACACCCAGCTCTACCTCTCTTTTTCAACTAATCCAGGTGAGGCAGTGGCTGTCCTGAACCGGTGCCTGGCCAAGGTAATAGGCTGGATGAGAGCCAATAAACTGAAGCTCAATCCAGATAAGACGGAGGACCTGTTGGTTGGTGATTCGAGCTTCCGGGTAAGTGACTTGGGCCTTGCCCTGGACGGGGTTGCACTCCCTCTAAAGGACAGGGTTTGTAGTTTAGGAGTGCCCCTCGACCTGGAGCTGTCCTTGGAAGCCCAGGTGATGGCAGTGGCAAGGAGATTTCCTTCAGCTTCGACTAATCTATCAGCTGCATCCTTACCTGGAGGAGAACTGCCTAGCAACAGTGACTCATGCACTGGTTACTTCCACTTGGATTACTGTAACGCGCTCTATGTGGGGCTGTCCTTGAAGACAGTCCGGATACTTCAGATGGTGCAAAATAGAGCTTCCAGGATGCTGTCGGAGACTGGTCGTTATTCTCATATAACTCCAGTCCTCTATCAGCTCCACTGGCTTCCCATCGAAGTCCGGGCTCAATTCAAGGTGCTGGTTATTACCTATAAAGCCCTGAACGGCTTGGGACCAGGATACCTAAAGGAAGGCCTTTTTCCCTACATGCCCTCCCACCCTCTAAGATCGGCAGCAGAGGCCCTCCTCCAGGAACCCTCTTTGAAAGAGGTCAGGAGACAGAGTACTCAGAGGAGGGCCTTCTCTGCGGTGGCGCCCCAACTATGGAAAGCGCTCCCTAAAGAGGTCTGCCTGGCAACGTCATTATACGTTTTTCGGCGCCAGATCAAGACCTTTTTATTTGACCAATATTTTAACATATAGTAATTTTAATTGTGCAAGACTTATTTATTTTAAATAATGCTCAGTGTGGAAGAGTTAACTTCTTATTTTATTGAAGACTGAAATAATAATGTAAGCCATCCAGAGATGACAGTAATGGATGGCCTACAAATTTTTTAAATAAATAAAATAAACCAATGGCATCTTTTCATTACTTTATCCCTCAATCATTTCTCATGTTTTTAGCACTGCCTTTTCATATAATCACATTTCTTGTAGCAGATCCTTTTAATTTAATTCTTAATAGCATGAAATGCGTTTAATAAAACATTGTAGAAGTAAGTCTGCAATATTCCCATGTATATCCATCTGGACCTGGTGCTAAGAGATCAGCAACTGAGGTTCTCTCCCATGCCCAGAAAGAAGGTAAGAAAAGTCAGGCTGGTGGGCACAGGATCCTATGGCTGTGAAAAGCACTTCTAACTGGTGTTCAACAGGCTCACCATGGCTTTCCTCTAAGACTACTCTTTGTACTCATTTGTATTTGTTTACAAGTTTTATTCTGGTGGGTGGAATTTTAAATTGTCTACTGTGGCTTTTACTAATAAATTATTTTATTAAAGTGCCTGCTCCAGCCAAGGCACTTTTGAAGCTCTTTAGGAGGAAACAAACTACATGTGGCAAAGAGGTTTATGGAATACAATGACGACATATGAATGCAGAATTTAAACAAGCAAAAGAACGTTTACACTCCCCTTTTCCGTTGCACAAAAGGGGAGCACAAAAGGCAATGTCTCTTACCACAGATTTTATAAAGTTCTTCTCTACTGTGAAGCCTGTCAGTACAAACACAGGGTCTAACCCCCACTTCCTGGGAAATAGGGGAGGGACAAAGCTGCTTCAGTAAGGAAAATGGTTCCATTCTCATAGCAAAAGTAATCCTTATTTACAGAATGAATGGGGACAGGTGAAGGCCACAAGTTCTTGGCATGGCTGCAGGAAACCATCAAGGACTTTGGACAATGGGAAAGTTCATATGCTACCTGCTGAACCTTAATAACTTTCTCATCATTCTTACAAAACAGCCTGTACAATATGCTCCTGTAGTTTTTGTTGCTTATATTTATGGAATCCACATTGCACAATGTGTATTTTACGAAATAGTGTTTTACATCACAAAACCTCACATGATAAAGGACTTTATTCCTCCCAATCTTATCCTCACAACATCCTGTGAGGTAGGTCAGGCTGAGAGAATGTGACCTGTCTAAAGTCACCCAGTGAGTTTCATGGCTGAGTGGGGACTAGAACCCAAATCTTCTGAGACCCCAGCACAGTTCTCTGCACTCTAGCAACCTGGACAAGTATTTTCCCTTTTCTTTTTTAAAGATGACACTATTATGGATCCAACCCCATTTTAGAGAAGCTGTAAACAGTAAGCACAATTACTGGGAAGCAAGCCCCTTTACACATCATACAACTGACTTCTAAACACACACCCTGTAGGATTGGATTGAAAACTTGCAAACTGGTACAGCATTCTGCATTTATAAGTACTCATCTGGGACACAGACAGTTCTGTTCCTTGGCATATTTCTGCATCTAGCCTTTCTTCCCCTCTGGCCTCATACAGAGGGAAGGAAGGCAGACAGTACCTTAATCACTACCCTCCCTGCCATTACCAAAGGAAGGGCCAGTGAAGAAGAGTCCTTTTCATATCTAACACCACAACTATTATACAATATGTGCAGCATGCTGCTAGTGGCGTTTCAAGCTCAGGCACAGCATCTATGACTTGAGAAGCACTGGTTGTGGCTGTTTTCTCCTGGCAACCCAGCAGCCATGTGAACAGCCTCATTCTCATTCCTGCTCCTTAATGACAGTTGCTAGGATGACAATCATGGTCAGTAAATCCCCTGACCATCTCTCCTGCTCATTATCAAAAGGAAAACCAGGATTGCCTTCTCCTCAAGTAGGCTTCCCTTGGTTAGTCTAGAATCCCAGACACTTACTACACCAGAAGTAACATCCTACTTACCAATTAACACACCTCTACATTAAGCAACAAAACTTACCAGAAGTCACTACACCTCTAGGATTCCGAAACAGAAACAGTGCTTGCAGAGTGCGAGGCCTTCCTGTTCGGTTGTCTAGCCAGAAAAAAAAAACACATCATAGAATGGTGACATTGCTCATTAAAAGAAAAAAAAACCTTATGCTGTCAAACAAATAAGAAACATCATACCATATGGGGAAGCCATTTGTTCAGGAGAAAGTAGCAAGAGATATCCTCCGTCTACAAGTGGCTTGATAATAACCTACAAATAGAAAGTTTACACTTTTTTAAAAAAAGCCTTCAACACTAGATAATGAATTTTAAATTTGGAACCCCAATGAAATGTAGAGCAAAATTTCTCATGATATATTGTATTGTCAGTACAGTTAATCACACACAGAGTAAAGTTATTAAGGAATCTGTACTCACTAGTTTATCCATCTCTAGCTTTTGGAGTAAACCTTCCAAATTACTTCCAGATCGCGCCTTTTCCACAACTTCATACAGACTGCAATACATTCCATTCCTGAATTCTAAGCATGGGGAAAGAACAAAGACTGTTAATAAACTGTCTTCCCTGGCAGGGCACAAAGCAATTAAATATATCTTCTGCCTATCAAGGCTTGTACACTTACACTTTCCCTTCTCCTCCTACCAACTGTGCTCCTCAAAAGGCCTCTCTGGAGAGTTGTGAGACCCTTCTAAACAGTATGGATTGGCGGGGGGGGGGGGGAGCTAAGAAAGATGAGGGAGCTACATTGTACAAGCTATATTCTGCTTACAAAGGTGACTCTGCCTGATTTGGAGCAATTTCCCAAACCACTGTGTTCAGAGGGACCCGCAAACCTCAGTAACCATCAGGAAAGGATGGGATGTAGCAGTCTTGGGTGAGTTTCCTTTTTGCCTGGGTGTATTAGGACCCAAACCATTATTATTTAACACATTTTTCTAAGTTGCTTTTTTATTTAACAGCAACTTGCAAAAACCAAAGCAATTTATCATAAAGTTTTGTGTTGCTCTAAAAGTTTTAAATGATCATTTTAAAAGCAAAACAATATATATAAATGCATTAAAAAAACCATTTCCGTATTGCCACTAAAGGTCTTTTAAAATAAAAAAGGGTTGACTTGGTATCAAAATAAAAGCAGCACTGGTACCTCTATCATGGCATTAAGGTTCCATAAACCAAGCGTTATCCACTGAAAAGGCCCCCGCCCAGTGGCCTTGCTCTAACCTCTACTTGGCATAGGTACCTGAAGTAAAGCCTCTGAAGCAGATCTTAAGTTTCAGACAAGGCCAAATGAGAAAAAGATGGTCTTTTAAATACCTTTGTCGGATTTAGGACTTTAAATGTCAAAACCAACACCTAAAATTGAGCATTTCTCAAAACACACTGGGAACAGATTTTTTAAAAGCAGGCAATATAACTGGACTGGCACACTCCAGCTAACAGTTTGGCTGCCACATTCTGAACCAGCCCAAGCTGATGATAATCACTTTATGCCATGTATACTAACTACATCAATAATCCAAAGAATGATCTAGCAGCACATCAAAACTGCAAATATGCTTTTTGTTTGAACCCATCCAGAATGATCAAAATGCATTTTTCCCATGTCACTGAATTATCCAAGAACACCTGATTTAGATTGAATTTCACTATCAGCCCTCACCCAACCCATTACAGACTCTGGGCAGCAGCTGAGCTATCTTCTCACTGGATTTCAATGTATAGAAGAAACAGAATTGGTGTTATCAACATACTGATGACACCTCTCACCAAGTCTTCAGACAACCTCTCCCAGCAACTTTACGTAGATATTAAGCAGAATGGGAGACAAAACTGAACCCTGTGGAACCTCAAATGCCATGTCATCCCCCAGTACCACCTTCTGGAATATACCTGCTTGGAAGGAGCAGAACCAACAGAAAATGGTGTCTCCTAACCATACTTCAGATGGGCAACCTAGAAGGAAGCCATGACTGATGGTACAGAAGGAACAGAACAAAGAGATCAAGACCCAGCAGAGTTGTATTCCCTTTGAGTCTGTTATTCTTTACTACACCATCATCCACTAATCAATGTCATTTTGATGCAAACTGAATATCCTATTAACCTCTCCAAATTGAATACTTCTGAATACTGTCTTCTCTAATTGCCACCAAAAGTTCATATACCTTAGCCTAAAAAGGGAGATCTATGACCAGCAGTTATTATACTGATCTTTGTCTAAAGAAACTTCCTAAAAGAATGATCACATACTTTTAAGATTCAAAGAAGCTGGACACTCTCTTAGAGACATTAATAATTCTCTAAATCAAGACAATTGCCTTCCGTTATTTGCATATCATCAGCTAAAGAGGGCAGACATATGCCAAGCCTTATTCCTTCAAATACATGTAGTTATCCAACATGGAGACCGTTTAGATGGTTAAGTGCTTTCACTTAATTAAAAGAGGTCTTACCTTCCCTTTCTCCTGAATATAGTTCTTTATTCAACACCCGTGGTAAAAATTTCGTCAATTGTTCAATACTCATAACCAAGTCAACATGAAGTTTTTCAGGTCTAGAAGTCAAACAAAGACATCTAAGGTTTCTTTTGCAAAACATTAATCATGTTTTTGCTTAAGTTTACCTCACCTTAAAAAGTAGTACTGGAATTTTGCATAAAGGAAGCTAGGAAAGCTTTGCAGCCTCAAAAAATTAAATTAAATTTCATGCACAGAACTCAATGGGGACCACTGATTTAAATCAAATTTCTTACCAAAACCTTTGTATATATTTCCCGAACAATGATGCAAATTTACAACGATTTAAATTTATACTGATGCAATTTAAATATTTGTATTGCTATATTCTTATACGTAAGCTTAGCATCTCTGTCCCATCATGTATTCTAAGATGGAATGTCTTTTACAATATATCCATAAATGATTTTTCTTTAAATTTTTCATGAGAGTTTTAAACCAGCAGTACAATGTTATACCCGTCCTTTCAGAAATAAGTTTACTCCTTATTCCCAAGCAGATATTTATGAGATTACAGCCTAAGTATGGGAATACCAGAATATGCCCCCTGGCCAATTTTGCATTTTCCCCCTTTACAATGTTGTTCCTTTCTGTTTCAGTCTGTCTTGGCCCAAGCTCATCATCACAAAAACCAAAATAGCGAACAAAAATAAAATAATCTTGACTGATGAGGCCAAAGCAAGGTTTGGCCTTATCAGTTGCAGGGCATCCTAGAACAATTCATTCACATCACTGTTGAACTGGTACAGTGTAAATATTTATATCTCAGAAGATGTCAGATAATGCTTCTTCATAGAAGAGCTTCCTTTAATTCAATGTCTCCAATAGAGACATGTATTCAAGTAACTGCACAGTTAACATGCTTACATTCAGATTATATAATCTTAATTCAGTTATTAAGAGAAAATTAACTATTTAAGAAATCATAAACTACTATCTGGGTGTTAAAAAATTGTATTTTTCTGATTCTTTAACCAATTTTTAAATCTATCCTTCAGTATTATCCTCCTGTCCTAACTAATCCCTCTGCATTGTCTGCTACTCCTCCATCATCATGTAAGCACAGAACACCAATTCCTATCCAGCCTGTTCCTTTGCACATGATTTAGCCCAGGGAAAAAACGGAAAACCAATAAATTTCAAGAAACAACTGTGGACTAGTAGACTGGAAAGAGCCAACTGAGATGAATAAACATATTTGATTGATAGGTCATTCCTTGACCCGTTCTCCATGATCATGGTGGCCCACCATGGCTTGTTTAAGCCACAGGGACACAGAGCCTAGAATTTGAAAGTTCTATACTTTCAAGATCTGCCACAACCTGATGTAACAAATATTGAGTTTAGGGCGGCTTTGGAATGTTTAATACTTACAGCTTACAGGGAAGTGAAGGACGCATTTCTGATTTCAAAGCAGCATGACATACAAGTGTCCCTCTGTTTAAAAGTTGCCCTTTCCATAAGGTGTAACTCGTCTTATCTACATTAAAAAGAATAGTGATCTTTGTAATACATTTTAATGGTGCTTTGAAAATGCCTTATTTTTAAAAAGTCATTAAGAAAATTCATTTAATATATTAGGGTATATTATTACCCTATATTAATGAAATGGTCATGCAGACTAAATTAGAGAAGCTAAAAAATAATCTTGAAAGAGGATTATTTTTAGTTGGGTTATGGAAATTTAATGTGTCACTATCCAAAGCCAAGATATTCAAAATTAAAATACTATAAATACATTTTTATGTATTTAACAACTTGCCCACATAGTCAGAGACAACCAGGAATTTCATGCAGGCCAGTAAGTGAAAGAACAAATCTTGCCACTCGTCCCCTGACAGTCCACTTTGGTTTCCATGCTGACTTGGAGGGGTGAGGGAGATGAAGCCTATCTCTAAGCTCTGTCTCTCTTCCACCAACATCTTTGGTACAGGCTTAAAAAAAATTAAAAAATAAGCCTGCTAATAAAGTAATAATCTGTGGTGGGTAACCTTTGTGAGTTTAGGTACTGGGGTTAGAAATTATTTTTTACAAGTAGAGAAAGTAATTTTTCTTTACACGACAGCTTCTAGTTTATCCAGGAATATATAGCATTTTACTGAATATTGCAAGTAAAATTACATCCTATGAAATGTTTTATTCACTGCCACCAAAACAAGAATCACTTGAAATGTGATTCAACATAATGCCTAAGTCAACAAGCAGAAGGTGAATACACCCTTTACATGATGCATTAGTTTTGCTCTACTCCCATTCATATACACCAAGCATCAAGAAAACATAAAATAATCAATTCAGAAAGTAGCACTGGGTTGGTTTGCATGACACAACAATTTACCCACAGTGGCTGTTATGTGGTCATGGGTTATGGTGCCCTGTGAACCCAGGCATCAGGGATTCTTTGAAGGTTAGACACCCATCAAAAAACTGTAAAGGAAGCCAAGTGTCATCTAAGGGTTGCTTAACCATTAAATATCCCCTGCTGTCTGAGTTCGGACAACACTACAAGCCTGTTAGCTGGATGCCCACAAGCACTATGCATTGGCACCTGACACAATGCAACAGCCTCTGCAAGTAAAGTCCACAGCGGATGCGATGCACGGAGACCACAACAAAGAAACAAAGATACCAAGGACATCTCATCCCCAGCTCCAGCCCTAGTTCCTAACTCTTAATTTTGCTCATCTGAGACCATGACACAGTGGGCATAGTTTTAGCCTTTTTCCTTTGCATAAAATCAGCCATTATAGCCTTCCTTTCCACATTGTAATGAAGATGGTCAAGTCCAGTTTGCTCAAGAAGAGTAACCTCCCCAAAGGAGACCTGTAAATGAAAGAAACCTGTGTAGGATCTTTCACCTGAAAGCAGCTTTTGCTGAAGTTATCTATCTTCCAGTATTTTGTGAAGATATAACCTGACATTTTAATAGCTGTCCTGCAAATATTGTACAAGTGCTACCTTTCATTCTTGCTCTCAGTGGCCTGGTTCAGACGTGACAGTCAAACTATGCTTTCATTGTCAAAACCATGCCTGAAGCCCCACCACCTCTGATCTTACATACTGCCAATGAACTTCCAGATTACAGTAACTGTAATGTGTAAAACACCTAAAATGGGCAAATCATGTTTACTTCTAATCAGGAGCAAACACCATGATTTGAACACTGACTCCATGCAAAATTGTTGGGTTACAGATGGACCCTTATATCTTGCATCAGAACTTTGTCTACAACAGTCAGGATGCTTCCAAAGTTCTGAAGTATTTAGGAGTCTGTCAGCTCCCACCTGTTTATGCTTCTTTCCTCTTGGATCACATTTTCTGGACTGACACTGCCTGATAACAAACAGATCCTTGGAATGGATGGCTTAATGGTTCCTTGGCTCCACACAAGTATTGCCTGAAAAGCAAGTAAACCCTACAGCAGAGGCCAAATTTAAGTCAACACTAGGTTCCAATGTTAGGTTTTTCCCTATATGCCCTCCTGCCTCCTAAGATCAGCAGCAGAGGCCCTCCTCCAGGAACCCTCTTTGAAAGAGGTTAGGAGACAGAGTACTTGGAGGAGAGCTTTCTCTGTGGTGGCACCCCAACCATGGAATGCGCTCCCTAGAGAGGTCTGCCTGGCGCCGTCATTATGTGCTTTTCGGCACCAGGTCATGACCTTTTTATTTGACCAATATTTTAACATAAAGTAATTTTAATTGTATTAGATTTATTTATTTTAATTAGGATAGTTTTATGCTCAGTTGTGGAATAGTTAATTTTATTTAGGATTTGTAATAATGTTGTAAGCCATCTAGGGACTACAGTGATGAACAACCTACAAAGTTTCTAAATAAATAAATAGTTTCTTCTTTTCATCAGATACTAAGTGACTGCTTCCTTAAAGTGTCCAAAATTAGTGTCTGAATAGATGAGAATAAAGTATAAGTCGAATCCAGGTAAAATAGAGTTGCTGTTGATGGGGGACTTGGTGGTCTCCAGCAAAGCAACAAAATGCTAATCTTTTAGCTTTTCTAAGGGACATGTTTGTAGTGCAGGGGTATTCCTGGACCTCTAACATTGCTACTGGATTCTCAAGTGATAGCTGCAACCTGAAAAGAAATTTATCCATTTTAGTCGGTTTCCCAGCTATGCCTCCACTTATCTTATTCATTTTTGGTGACTTGTGCTTCCCTGAAGATGTCAGAGAAAGTGTAGCTGGTACTTAACCTCATCCATTTGTCAACAGGAATACATGGAAAAGCGTATTACACCAGTTCTACTTACCAGTTTGTTTCCAGCCTCAATTCAAAGCACTGGATCTGAACTTTAAAACCCTACACAATCTGAGTCTCAAAGATATGGAGAAAGACCTTCTTCCATCCAACCCTGCTCACTTTAAGCCCAAGCCATATGATCTACCAGAAAGGGAAAAACTGTAATCCACCAGGAACATGGTCTTTTCTGCAACAGCCCTGAGAATAGTGAAATATGTGTATATTCTTCCATGGTTTCCTTTCATATACAGGAAAAGATAGACATTTGGGGATTAATTAACACTTCTTGCTGTTTTTATGACTTTTTGATTAATTGTATGGAATTATTGTAAACAACTTACTGATTGGCAGTCTATCAATACTGTTAACATTTGTTTAATACTATTGAATACTGTTTAATGCTATTGAAAATTGTATAGGCTTTTCCAGAAAGAAAGTTGCATGCTAAATAGAGAAACATTTCAGGGGATCTCCTAAAGACACTGAAACTTGTGGGAGCTAAGGCAAGAGTCTACACATCCACACCTTTGACATAAAGTCATTACTTACTACAGTAACAAAGAGCCATGGTCACTTTGCTAAGACTTAAAACAGCAGAGGTTGGGTGAAAGACACTCAAAAGGAGGCTCTGGAAACTGCATAAGTATGCATCGTATGTAAGAATTCCAGTCAGTGACACGTAGTTTTATTTAATAATTGTATCCTTACCAGTGTTCTTATCCATATTAGACATTTTTGATCTACAAGCAAAACACATACAATTAAAATCAAAAAACAAGAAGTAGTGCTCACCCTCACATGTAATTTCCCACTCCATGTTCTTGATAACTGAACTGCCATGCACTAAATACCTCATCATATACATGTTTTCTTCTCAAATAACCTTGAAGATGGCATAAATGTACACAATTTATACAGTTAACATTTCTGTTACAGAATAACAGAATAGTACCCAAGCTCAGTACAGAATTATAAACTGTAGAGTAGAAATGTTCTGAAACATCCCATGATACCCTTTTACATGTATCACTGGCCTCCAGATGGTATGATTTGAAATTTCAGTTCTTCCAAGATATTAGATTAATTCCTACCAGAGATAGTCCAATCTTAAGCTGCTTTCCATAATCACCAACATTTAAAGACAGAAAATACCATGGCTGGTGTTTGTTTCTTATCAGCCTGGCAATAAATGAAAAAGTAAATTGCACCTGAAATTGACCTTTAAAAAGTCATGCTCAGGGAATTCCCAGGCTTTAATAATTATGTGCACATGCTAGTCATGCCAAGTGTGCACTGCCAAAACCAGATCTATTCAGCTTTTCTTCTCCATGAACTGTCTACATTCAAGCTAATCATTCTAGGAACTATAATGTCGCATTTTCAGAATGAGAATGGATTATTTTTCCCTTGTCATTCCATTTTCTTTTTGTGATACATTTAAGATGGTAAGGGACTTCTTACAGATTTGCTGCTCTGGGGGCCCTTTTAGCTGAAAAGCAATTAAATATGCTTTAAATAACCAAAGACATTTACAACATGCACAATCTAGCAATTGCTACTTCCATTTTCAGTTCCTCATCAAAAAAAAGTATGCATGCAAGTTCATGGCTAGCTAATAACAGTAAGGTTAGCTAATAACTGGAAAGATTAACATTTCAAGTATTTCATAAAATACTACTCCCATATAGCCTGAAGTATGCTGCTGCCTAATCTTGCAAGCTAAGCAGCGTCAGGTCTGGTTAGAACCTGGATGCGAGACTTTAAGCAAGGGGTTTGATCCAAAGGCTTTCTAGGTCCCTTCCAAGTATATAATTCTATGACTATTTTTTAAAATAAACTTTTAACTTACCTTGCTTGAGGCAAATACTTTTGCACCTTTTCATCCTTGTAAGAAAAGGCTACAACAGCATATGGACATACATGTCTTGGTCTTGGTCTGATCTCATCAAAGCCGTATTCATAGAAATAATACTAGAGACATATTCAGAATAAAATAGACTTAAGTCTGCAGATTATTACATATTGTCAGATGATTATTTGTAAGCAATATCACAAACTCATTATTTCACCACTGAAATTAAACTATACTGCTAGTTATGCTGAAAGTTACCAACAGAATGGACAAAACAATAATGCATAGTACAATTTAAAAGAATCTTTCAAAAGAAAATGATAGAAAACAAATTAGAAATGTGCTCTGAGTATGTATTTTCATTAATACTCCTGATTTTAAGTAGCCTTCAACAAATAACATACATTATTGCCGGAAAAGGTTATACTAATACCTTTCTATTATATTAAAACCACAACATTAACTACAAGAACATAACCATTTATATGTAATTCTGTTCAAATAATTGCCATTACTTTACCTGTGTGCGCTCATATGCTCTGTAGGTTAAGACAGAAGTAATTCTATTTGCATTCTTTGAAACATGGCATTCATGCTTTGGTGTAGGATCTAATGCACTTTTAACAGCCAAGTCTGCTACTCCCAGGTTATCATATATAGTCTTCATTCTTCCCTAAAAGGTCAGAAAATGGCTTTCAGAAAGATGACAGATTCAATACATAACACAAAGAGACAAACCCATACTACTTTCAGTCTAATTAACTCACACAGAAAATGGTAACAGCTATATAACTGACATAGCTTTAAAGGTGTACTGGGCAAATTGCTTGAGTAACAGGTACAACAGTAATAACGACTATTCATGATGTCTATATGTTACATGTAGTATCAGAAGAGGTACACTAGCTGCTGAGGAATATAGGAAGGAAGGAGCTTTTGTTCTGCCTGTTGGTTTTCTGAGGACATGCGAACAAAATGCTAGATTAGATTGACGTTGGCCTCATAAAGCTTTTGCAGTTCATTCACAGTACTCAAAAAGTGAGTTTTCATTTAGACTGGTCTCTTCACTTTCAAAAGTGCCATCTGCAAAGCTATTAACTATAATCTCTTTTAAGTTCTGAAAATGGCCTATGGAACTAACATATCACACAAACATTTTAAAAAGACCATTCATTGGTAACAGGTTTACTTTTTAAAATATTGCAATCTGATTTATATAGGAAAAAGCTTTCTTTGAATTGATTTATACCAATTTTCTTAAAGTAACTTAAGAAAAGTTAATGCAACTATCATTGGTGAACTATGAGTGAACACAAAACTTTTATAAGCTTACCTTTATTACTTTGAAAATAATAATATCACCAGTTGCTCTGGCCTCCAAAGGATTGGCTTGCAACAAATCAGCATACTTAGAAAGATATACACCTGCAGGGTAACATTATTAAAATATCAGAACTGTTTACTGATAATATCTAAGCATACTGTAATGGCAATCATTGCAAAATGTGACTTCAATGATTTTTTATAAGTTCAATTAAACTACTGGAACTCTCCTTATCTGAAAGAACAGTAGTGATACAGACAACAAATACATGCAAATATTTAACTGATTATGGTGGTAAAATAGATTTTGGTTAATTTATAGGCTGCTGATAAATTATATAATTAAAACAATGCCACATCAATTAAAACACACCAGTTAAAATGAATTTATCAGTTAAATAACCATCTACCACTTAAAGACTAGTTTAGCAAACCCTAGAGCCAAGATGCTGTCTGAATAACATTGTTTGCCTACCAGCAGAGGGATATTAAAGATGGAGCTAGATGTGCCTGTCTTGCTGTGAAGTTCTAAGCAGGTACAAATAACCACTATAAAAGGACCTCTCTCGTGTGCCTCCAATGGTAGCAGGACAGAAAGAACAGCCTTTTCGAAGCAGGCTCATAAGGGAGAATGTAAAATTTCAAATAGGCTGGTCCCAAGTTGCATAGGGCTTTTTAAGTCAAAACCAGTACTTTGAATTGGGTCTGGAAATGTACTGAAGTCAATGAAACATTTGTAAGAATGAGATTAAGAGTTCCCTATAACTGGGCCCAGTCAACAACTCAGCTGCAACTTTCTGGACCAAAAGAAGTTTCTAAAGAACCTTCAAAAGTACCCAACATAGAGAATATTACAATAGTCCAAAGGAGGTGATATTAAGGCATGAGTGTTCATGGCCAACTCTCCAGGAATCAATGCAACTGGTGCAAAACCTTAGCTATGCAAACACATTCCTAGACATCACTGAAACACAAACGATCGGGTTCAGGACTGAATCAGTCCAGCAGTACACCCCCGCTATGAACTTGGTTCTTCAACCCAAGTTGAGCCACCATTCCCTGATCTACCTTTAGACTGACCAGAAGCAATTCTGCCTTGCCTGGATTAAGTTTGATTTTCTCCCCGTCATCCAATCCATTACCAACACCACAGATTTAACCAGAACAGTGTCCTTGAATTTAGCTGGAGACAGTGACCCAGTAGCACTATCACACATCAAGCCACCATGCCTGAGCTATGGCACATGTGATGATGCAATTTGCCTGGGATGCCCAAACCCAAGCAGCATAGCTCATCCACCAAGTCAGATCATAAGGCTCAGCTGGACAGCAATTATGCAAATCACAGGAAGCATGCAGCACAGCGCACTACAAGCCACAATTTAACTCACAGTATCTTCTTACAATTAGACAAACCAGCTCACAGAGTTGGGTGCCATCAGCATACAGGTCAGACCAAACCTTAAAAAAACCAAACAACCCCTCCAAACAGTTTCATGTATATGTTAAATAGCATGGGGGCAAGATTGAATCTTGCAGGCTACATTGTCCAAAAGCAGTGCCCCAGCACCACCTTCTGAAATCACCATCTGAGGACCAGAACCAACATAAAACAGTGCCAGACAACCAAGAATAGTATAAAAACACCATTGAAAGTTCCAGCAGAACCAATCCTCCTGTTCCATTCTTGGCATAAAGCATCCACTACAGTGACAAAGGCAAGTCTCTGTCCCCAAAACCAGGCTTGAACTAGATAATCCATCTCATCCCAAAATACCTGGAACTGAGATACTGTAACACTATGTCCAAAAATATTATACTGGGGGCTAGCTAGAAATTATCCAATATGGTAGGGTTTAGGGAAGGTTTTTTCCTTTTTTTAAACAAAGGTCTATCCAGGCATAGTGATTAGTTGTTATTCTTACCCACTTAGTCTACCTCCCCTCAACCTGATGTTCTATAACCCAGAAAATCTTACTTCTCCAAAGGATCCTGTCATTATCCTTATACTTCCTTAGGAAGTATAACTGGACAAGAAGCAGATATGACATCCCTGGACCTATACCAACTAAGAAATCAAAGTTGACACACATAAAAGCACCTTTATTTGTAAATAAATGCATAATGGTCAAAAGAGGGTGTCAAGTACTCAACCTTTTCTTGTAATAGACATCTGACCACCCAAAATAGCTCAGTTGTGTCTGAGAAATATAATTTCTTCACTGTCACCTCCACCACCACAGAGTATGCCTTCAAACAAGCTCTAGCCCATGTGCAGCCAGATCTATAACAAGTTTTTATGTCAATGACACTCTTGATGCAATCCCACCAGTTTCATCCCCCATCCCTTCAAAACCAGAGAACTGTACTGGCTCTACTCAAACAAAACAGTGCTTCAAGACCCAATAACTCATCAAAAAGCCCTATGTTTAATTTTGCAAAATTTCTTTTTATACGAAACTTTCTTTTTATACTATGTTACATTTGATACCAGGAAAGTAGGAGCTGAACTTCTCAGTGTGGGGAGAAATAATGATCATTCATATACCTGCACATCTCTAGTATTAGTAACAAAAAGGGATAATTACCCATAGAAGGGCTGCCAAGAACTGTTATCTTGGAATGGCCTACCTGTAGGCCATTTTCACATATGTTTTGCACCTGAAATCAAATATATAGTTTAATAAACATTGAAATTACTATAGTGGGGACAAATGGAATTAGCATTCATGCTTCAGAGATTCTATATTACACTTGTATTGGTCATGAAATGTTTTAATACTGATTGGCTGAACTTATGCAATGCCACAGAATGTCCATAATCACAAAGACAGATGTGGTTGGCCTATCTCTGAATCTGGAAAGTGCTAAGCCTGGAATGCCCAGAAAGTCCAAATACAGTTGACTTTGGACTTAAATACACATTAACCTTATCTTACTAAGTTACAAGATCAGGAACGTAATTTATTTGGGGACATGTTCCTGGCAACCACAAAATATAGCCACCAAGGGTTGCAAAAATCTATGAACCCTGAATTACCTTTTAGGACAGTAGGTACATATTGAATATAATGAAACAGCATTATTTCTATGTTACTATTACATGTTTGATTGCTTAGGTAAAATTTCATTTTGGAGGAGTTTGAATAATTCACAGCAGCACTTTTGAGGCAAAAATGTTCTGTTTTTAAAGCACCCATTAAGTTACATGAGTGTAAGATACCTACACAAAACAGTTTCCTGTTTCCTGTGGAAACCACAGTGCTAGGAACAAACTCATTTCTCCACAATAACTATTTTCTAATTATACAGTCAGATTGTGATATTCTGAATACTGATGTACTTATTCCTAGTAGCACTTTGTTCCTGTGAAGCAGCAAGCTCAGAACTACCTGCATATTTTACACACTTGTGCTGAATGACCAAATGGAATGAAAGACAAATAGCAGCAAGGACTCTCCAGACTACTGGATTTAGGAACTAGAGGAGATCTAGGTCTTCTATCATATATTTTTCATTATTTGACCCAAGCTGAAATATTTCACAAACATACATAAATTGCCTCCTTCAACACAATTACTCTTTAATAGTTAATTCCATAAAACTAAGATTCTCACCAAAGCACGGTCAACCTTCAGGAATGCATATGTTTCAGCCAGTTCTTTTTCTGATCGGCCATCTCTTTTTAATTCTCTTCGTTTCTCTATGAACTTTTGAAAAATATTATTTAAATTACAGGCAAGAAAAACTAGCACATATTATAATTTAAGTACCACAAATACTCTGAACTTATCACATTTGAATCCTGCAGAAAGATACAGTATCAAGAAATTACACAATTTTGTGACTAAGTTATAAGGCAAGACCATCCACAGCAATCATGTCAACTCAGTTGCAAAGAAAGTAAGTCAGATCCATAGCTTGTATGAGTGAAAGACTGCTCCTTCAAGTGATCTATTTCTTACATTTTAATGCAATCTGCATATTTTATGGATGTAAGCTTTGGGGGCCTTTTGAGAAATGAAAAGCAGAAAAGAAACCATTTTGTAAGAAAAATAACAACATCCTGCCTAGCACCTTATAAGAGCCTCTATGGAAGCTGGAGATCCTTCCAAACCACACTGTGGATCTACAGTGGAAAAAGAAAACTGCACCAGACTGGGAGGAAGTACCATGCACAAACAGAACTGCACACTCATACAATGCCTCCACTCAACTTCCAGACAACCTATTCTCATCAAGTCTATTATGTTTGGGATGCTCCCCAGACCTTCTAAAGAGGCTTTTAAAATAAAGCATAAGGACTGTAGGAAGACAGTAAGGATGGAATGGGACATTTTATTTATAAAATGATTCCTACCCTGCTGTTTTTTGGCCTTGTCATTTATCCTTTCAATGTATATAGTACAAGAATGAAAGCCTTAACTTGAAGTACACTTTTTATAAGAAAGGTTATTTAACCATGCTAAGTCAGTTGCAGCTATTTTATTCACTGAAAAGAATACACATTCCCTTCTCATTACAATGAGGTACCTTCAAAATAAAGAGGCATTTTATTTTCAATGGAAAATTTCCTTGGCGCATCACTGTGATTACCGGCAACCCTCTGAATTCCAGTGGAGGGCAGAAAAAGCCAAGGGTTGCATCAATGCTCCTCCTAGCCTTCAAAACATGTGTGTCTGATTTCAGTTGCAGCCCTGCAGCTTCCCAACACTGTCTGCAGGGTCATATTCAGAGCCCCAGCACTGAAGTCCTGCAACCTCAGAGCTGGGACTCAATGTGGAGCCCCTGCCCCACCTTTCCTTGCAGCTGGGCCTACTGCCTCTCTGAGGTTGGAAATCAGAGAGGAGGATATGCTGGGTGGAAGAGGACGTAGGAACAATGGGATATGCCACATCCAAAAGAAGCCCCAGCATCTTTCCTTTGCCCTTTGCACTAGTCAGGACTTACGACATGGCAATGGCTAGGTTCACCACCATTGCAACTTACCCTGTCCTCTAGAGTAAGCCTCTGAGTTTGGAGGCTTACATGCACTGAGCACAGAGGACACTGTGCATCCCAAGTGTTTTACACTGGCTCATGAGGAGAGCAGCATTCCTCATTCTCCCCTCTCCAACCTACCTGACACCGGCTCCAAGGTCTTCTTTGCAACTCTGGAGCCAGGAAAATATCACACAGAAAAAAAGGGCAGGGAGAGGCTGCTCCAAATTCATAGTTAGGACTCCAATGGCCATCTAGACAGTGTCTAGCAGATGCAGGATTGCACCCTTACAATCTCAAAAACAGTACACCCAGTAAAATTATAGATGCAATCGGCTAAGGAAGCATATCTTGAATAAATTCTTATTTTTCTGTATAAATTTCAAATGGCTTCATTATGTGCGAATAACACATACCTCTTTTTCCAACAGTTCATTATGAACCAAGCTGGCTTTTTTATAGGTGAAGTTGTCTTTTGAATGGATTTCTAAATATGACGAATGTAAAATGTTGACAACTTCTTCAAATTCACGAGTTTCTTTTGTTAATGCCTGAAAAAGAGCTATAGAGAAAGAAAAGGATCATCTCTTGGCCACTAAAGTTTGTGTTAACCTCATTATTAAATGGCCACATACATGTATTTCATAAATTATTACCAACAAGGCAAGTGGGTGTACACAGTGCATACCAATAAAACAAGCCAAAAGTGAGCAGCTTTATGTGGAAGACTCGTAAGTCAGAAGACAAGCAGGGTTTGTTCTGGTTTATATATCCTGGTTTGTCTAGGAACAATAAATCAAAGTGAGGGGGAATGACTGGCATGCATAAGATGTTCATAGTAAACAAGGATAAGCCAGGAATTCTGACATCATTTTGTGAAAATGCTCTCAGTGTTGAGATGTATAAAGCTGCAGTAAGGGGGTATCAGTGGAAAAGCTGTATTTGGTTATTATTCCTATGAAAACAAGTAAATCCAAAATAACGCAACTGATGGATTTTTTACACATCTCAATTGTAACATTTTCCAAAAATCTTTCTGCATTATTCAAGACAAAGATTTGATTTACTATGATGGGCTCACCAAAAAATTAACCAGATAAGAACACCAAATTTATGTGAAACACTGTATGAACATTTGAAAAGTTCTTCTTAAAGTCAAGGTAGTCAAAATGGAAAAAATAACTGTTGTGTGCATCCGTTTAAAATTTATATTCAATTCAAACATTTGGAAATTAGGTTAATACAGCATTTGTAAATATTTTAAAACTTAAGTCTACAGCACAGACTTCCCTTAAGTTATTTGAAGTGAGGGAAGATCCTGAACATTGTTAAACATACTAATTTTAGCATAACCAAAGAACTGTGTACATGGATGTGTGTTTTTTCAGGGGCAGTCAACTAAAAAAAGGTAAGGGTTTTTTAAAGATTTCACTAATGGGGCATCTATTCAATCTGACTTATTCTGTATTTTCATTTTTTGCATTACTAATTATGTATTCGGTTACTAGTTTATAGATCAACAGTAGAACATTTCTGCCCCATATTATTGCAATATGCACAGCTTGAATATACAATTACAAGCACTTATCACAAATTAGGTATGGTGCCCCAAAAGGTACTTATACAAGTTTAGAGGCACACACAAGTAAAAAAAAAAAAAAATACACACCTACAGATTTACTATTAAGAATACTTGGTTGTATGTTTTCTTGTAAATAAATTCAGTCCTGGAAAAAATTAACATTCAGTAATCTAGTCTTCAGTGTTTTTCCCAGTTCTGAACAAATAGTTTATTTATTTATTTTCCGATTTATATCCTGCCTTTTTCCTTCAAAGGGCTCAAGGCAGCTTACATCCTTCTCCTCCTCCATCTTATCCTCACAACAACAACCCTGTGAGGAAGGTTGGGCTGAGAGTCTGTGACTGGCCCAAGTCACCCAGCTGGCTCCATGGCTGAGCGGGGACTAGAACCCAGATCGTCTGAGTCCCAATCCCAGGCTCTTAACCACTACACCACACTGTCTTCATAAACTTGATCAGAATGTTCCTTTTCAGACATATATAGAAAGGAATAAGTTTGCTTGGTAACACTTTCGGCCAGCACTGTGCGCAATTCTTCTTAGAAGATTTCTACAATATTTCCATTTACTGACAGATTAACTTATAATCCCACTACCCAATGTTTTTCCTTCTAGAAACCCAAACAATAAGCTCCTTCCAGAATAACTGAAGAGTACTTTGGTGGGTTTCAGAAGACAGAGATAAGGCTATAGCAAGCAGGCAAAAGACTGCAACGCTGCTATACATTTATTATTTTACTGTATTTTGTGTTCCTGAGAAAGCTACAAATTTAAGCAAAGCAAACATTTTTCTTCTACATCAAGATTAGTATCAATGATTTTAAACATAACTGACTGAAAAGTTATACTGCACCCTGAGAAAATGAATACTAGGAACAGAAGTTATGTTTATAATGCAACAGCAGATTTACAGGTTATATAAGCCTGGTATATAAGCTTTTATTTTCTTTCACTGGGAGTATATTTAGCATCCATCTGTGAACATTAGTTTCTAAGAATAAATTCTTCATACTCTGTATTCTCCACTCACATTCATCTTTTCTTTGCATCTATGTTGTTTTCCTGGTACTGGATTAGGGGTCCAATTCACCCAATCAATTGCATCCCACTAGAGCATCCTCAAAATCTGCTCAATAGAGTTAGGAATCCTCCAGAACAGATTTGTATGATGTGCTGCGGGAAGTGGTGGTGAAAGGAAAATCTCAGAGGGGGCATGTCAGGGGAAGGAAGGATACTGGTCTCATTCCAACTGATGTCCCACCTATCTTCCTTTCCAGTGCTAAAAATAGCTGAAAACAGCTGTCTAAAAATGCAGGTGAAGGGTGGCACCAATTGCTGCCACACTTCAATCCTCTTCTTTAATGCTCGTAAGTCTCCATGTTCAGAAACTTGCATGCATCTGCCATGGGAACAACAGGACTACATAAAAACCCATTCTGTTTTTTTCGGAGGAAGGACAGGATAATTCTAAAACACATAAATGGAATATTCTCCTATGTTACCAGCCCTTCTCAGCCTGGCATTCTCCAGATGTTTTGACTACAACTCCCATCAGCTCAAGCAGCAGTCAATGGCCTAAGATTACAGTTGTAGTCCAAAACATCTAAGGAAGGCTATCTCAAACAAACAAAAGCATGTCTAAGGAATAGCACTAGCCTGCAACTTTCCATCTCTGCTTTTTATCTGTGTGTAAAGTCTGTTGTTTTACACAAGGGAACTTTCAAATGTAATTGTCAACGTGCAGTTTGTAGTAGTACTGTGAATCCACACATTACAGAGGATATGGGGAGGGGATGGATCTAATTTCACATTAGGGTTTTGCAGAAACAGCACAAGAGCCTTTCTGAAAAAGCCTCACCTGAACTCAAATGTTATCCAACACACACATGCTTGCAGAATAAAGGAGTTGCATTTTACTTCCTGTGGAACTTCTTAGAAAGCAATTAGTGGCTTAAATGTGTTTTGTCAATTCCCCTTTATGTAATGTCTGGACTGCTGAAAGCATGTATCTCTTCTTATCATTGGGTATTATACCATCCAATTAACAAGGTCCTCTTGATAGTTAACAATAAAGCCCTTTTAGAAGCTCCATACAAGAAAAAGCATGTCCTTGGGACTGTCCCTCCCTCAGACCTCTCTGGATAAGAAAGAGGATGGGAGAAAATGAAGTTTGCCAAGAAGAAAGAAGAGCGGAAGCTCATTTGCTATCTAGCAGCCTTTGTTCATATTTACTTTAATTCTTGGGAAAAGTGACTGTTCAAAAAAGGAGGGAAGCGGATTAAATACATTTATGAGATTATGTTGTGTGTTTTATCATTGGCTGAACAAACAAATGCTAGCAGTAACTATATATGTCTACCAAATTTACATTTGGAAAATCACACATTAGGAACCTGTAGTAAAAAAAACTAAGTCATTTTTTTTTTTTTAGTTTTCAATTTTCAGTAAAGAGACTACTCCTTTACAAATGAGGGAAGATAACCAGAACTGCTTGCCACACAGTAAGTTAACAATCAGATGTATAAGACCCTGCTCACTAAGTCAAAGAATGAACATAGCACATTATGTGAACTGAAAGTCATATGGATGGGAAAAAATGGTCACAACTGCAAGAATTGTAGACTGCATTCCAATGCAAAAATAAAAGAACTGAACAGCAACTCCTAAATTCCATGAAGGCTCTTCTGATTTTCAATTCACCTGTATTTTTATGAAACAAGAAACTTGCTAAGTGTATTTTACAGCTTGCCACCAGTGTCATGGATTGATATCAGGTAGTTAAGCTCATCTGCACTGAGATTACCATCTAGCCAGATATTAGTTATTCTGCCTGGAAGTATATTTCCAGAGTGTGAGACAGTGGTCTTAATGCTTCTTACACATTTTTTTTTAAACTGGAGAATGGATCTGGTTCTTTTTGCCTATGAAAACATCTGAACTATTATCTATGGGATGAACAGATTTTTGTCTGTCATCTGTAAAAGCAACAATTATGATACTACTGTTCAAGCATTTATTACTTCAGGTTCAAGCTTGAAATATTTTCAAGCTAGTTCTCAGATGTTTTACTTTATATTTTCTGGATAGGACTAATGAAAGTTTTAAGCCAAAACATCCTGTGGGCCTCAATGTGCCCCATCCCTACCATGGAATAAGGCAAAATTCCAGAATGTTCCTGCAATCGCTTAAGGATCCTTCTATAGTATATAGTGTTTTCCTACATGAAGAATACTTATTACTTGACTTCCTTGAAGTAGACAGTATAGAACTTGTCACAAATATTTCAAAATTGAAAGGGGTAAAAATATCTCAAATTGCAGTTTAACCTAGAAACTCAAAATAACACTTCTGAAGGACTAGCAAAATATGCTACCCTGTTTGATAGAGGGTCATTATAAGCATCAAGCTCCTTGACTTCTTTTTTAAAAAGGTTCCCTCATCATTTAGAAAATAGTATCTCCAAGGAGCTATGACTCAGCACAAATAATCTCTGGGAAATGACTAATTACATAATTGCTCTATTAGTCCCTTTACCACTTTGTTCTTTTTTGAGTAAAACGTTTTCTTCAATTCTCTGGACATTACATTTCCCACAATATCATGCTCCACCTCTAATTTATTAAATATTACTACTGTATAATAAGGTGTCAAGGTGTGAAAATGGCGACTATTTGCCTATAGCATTTTGTCTATTTTTCAGATTAATCTCTTAAATGAAACTGCAAAGTTATAATTTTCAAAGTATCCTTTTAAAGAGATGAGAGAAAACAACTGGCATCAACAGAAACTTTCAGCTTCAAAATGGTCAAGTTCCTGTTCTGAAGCTAAATCAAGCCATATCTGCCCAATATCTGGTTATCTATGAAGAAATCCTCCTTTGAGTTTCTTGGAAGACCTAAGTACAATTGTAAAAAACAAGGACTCCAAAGGGTGGAAGATATATCTGAACCAGGCAGATTTTAATTCTTCCATTGGAATGATACGCCTACGATGCTACATAAAGGAACTTTTAATCTGAAGAGTTTTAAAGAAAAAGGAGGGGCTCCTCCTGCTTTCCATTGTGTTATGTGTTCACAATGCACACCTATTGCTATGTTTATGAATATTCTTCCATCACATCCAAAAAGTGCAAGAAGCATTAGTACACAGGTCTTCTTTCATGCCATAGCTGGTTCATTACTGAATAATGGTACCTCTTGAAACACCTTGGTTGTTTCCAATAGTAATATTAATACTCAACTGACATTTGTCATAAGATAGACATCAACATCTTATACTAAGACATAGTACCTGTCCAACTGTCAATGCATGAAAAGGATGAAAGCGCTAAGAGAAATTGATCATATTGTTCAATATGAAGGGAATAATCAGAATTCAGAAGAAGCTCATTGAGTAGTTTTTAAAAACTAATTGTAGCATTAAATGCACAGAGAATCAACCAATAGTAAATTTGCCAATGGAGGATGCAGCAACCCATGCTGTAAAGCTAATGGCATCTGTAGAATGTATCACTATACATCCTAAGAAAGAACATGCAATAAAGTACTAGAATCTGGAACTCAGTGCAGTTCCAACTTGAATACCAAAAGTCTGATAAAAGTTCAGAATGGAACTTAAGGCCTAAAGATGTCAATTAAGGTATGAGACAGAACCAGACCGGCTCTTTGGCTTTATCTAGGTAATATTCCTTACAATGCACGATTTTGGACAATAAGATATCCTATTTGGCCTACTGTTGTCCATGTGATGACAAGAAAGATCCTCAACATGAGAGTTCATATGGTTAATCCTGGAATGCAGATAAGTGGCAGATGTAGGCTTCAAGGAGCCAAACCAACCTACTACCTTGGCTTTTGCCTTACTAAACACAATGGCTCTCTTTTAAGAATATTTAAAACTGTCTTCTTAGAGGATGAAAACTCTGTAAGTTTTCTCTGAAAACTCCTGAGAGCAGGTAACACCCAGTTCTTTAATAAGATTTAAGAATGAGGTCACTTTGTAAGAAAAACATTCAAAGTAGACTCTCCTTGGAAAACTAACTGAAGACAAACAGTAAGCTTGTTGCCACTAAGAGAAAAAGAAAAGCCAACACCGATATTAGGTATGAAGATCAGTCAGCCAGACACAGAAAGAACTAGGATCACCAACTGAACTTCCTTTGAAGAGCACGTGGTGTTGGCATCCACTTCCCTCCTGAAACGTGAGGGAGGTACAAGTGGCTTTCCAGAGGAATAAAAAGGCCGTTTTTCGAGAACTTCACTGATATGGACATGTGTAACGCGGTTACCAGCCTACTCTACTAAAGGATGCTTTCCTCTCCTGCAGAGAGCGCAAAGGAGGCAGGCGAGCCCTCTCTCCGCGCTCCCCGGAGAACCCTTCTTCTCTGCGAAGTAGCTGTGGGGGGCGCATCCAGCCATTTCCCAGCCCCCCAACATCGCCTCCAGCCTCTTCCAGATCTCAACGCAGCCGTGACACCCAGGCGGGTCGCGTTCCCGCAAGCCTTTCGTTCGCTCTTGCTCTCAAAATGGACCTCCGCCTGCCCTGACACCTCGCTCCTATGCGAGCGTGCCGCGGCCCAGGCGTTTCTCCACACCCGCAGGGTTTTGCATGCAGCTGTGCGAGATGTCGCTACGTTTGTGGAACGGAGGAGGGGAGGAAGGGAGGAGGAAAGGGTCGGGGGTGGAAGATGCGAGGGAACAACCTTTCTTTTCTCTGCTCTTCCTGGGAATCTGAAAGTTTTTCTTAAGCGGCAGATCTTCAGAGGCTTTGGGGAGCGAGGGCCCCAGTCCATCGCTAAGCGGCTGTGGCTGTGCTTGTTCCTGGGCCGCGGAGACGCTACTCTTGCGGTGGCCACTGCGCGGGGATCCCCTGTCTTCTACGGCGGCGGCGGCGACACCTAGTAGCGGCTGCTCATCGGTTCGGGTTCTCTCTGGGCGGCCGCCATTTTGTGTGGTTTCTTCCGCTTCGGCGGCTGCAGCTCTGTTCTCTCCAAAGGAGAGGCCGCTGCTGCTCCCCGCCCGCTGAGGCGGCTCTGGCGTTTTCTCACCGCCGCTCATAGCCGCGGCATCCGCCATCAAGCCGCGCAACACAATCAAGAAAAACGCCCCCCCGCTCTGGTGATCTTTGTCCCCTCAACAAGCCGCCCTGTCTTCAGAGCCATGCACGACGCCGCCTAAAGCACTGCCCTCCTGGCCCCCGACAAAGCAAACAGCCACTGACTGACTGACTGACTGCCCGCCCGCTCGATCAGTCGCCCGAGCCTTCCCCGCTTTCACTCTAACATGGCGCTGAGGCGTCAGGAAAGAGGAGGGGCCTGCGTCTCTCCGCTTGCGACCAATCGCCGTTCAGCGCTTCTTATAAATAGGAGAAGTCACGCTTCGCGCTTGCCTCGAAGACGGTCGAAGGGCTGTGAAGTTCGTGGGCTAGAGTATCGTAGCTCGGTTTTGACATATGGAATGCCATCCATGCAAGAAAAGCATGGGTGTAATACGCTACGTTATTCACCCTCTTCTTTCTGTCGCCCTCAAACAGAGACACGATTGATTGCTAGTCTTCAATAGAAGGTTGAGCGTCTTGAAGAAAAGAAAAGGCGCGCTGCCGCACGAGCTTCGCGAACCACAGAAGGACTCCCGTCTTCTTTCTCCTGCTGCCTCACGGGGGTAGCGAAGTCGTTTTCGACGCTGAATTTTTAGACCCCGGGTCCTCCAGAGGTTGGAGTACACAGCTAATGTTTTTTGCGTGTGCCCGCATCTCTTCCATCACTCCATTCTATGCTTCGCGGATTCTTCTAAGTACAATTTCAAAATTCATCATTGGCTTTAGACTTCCTGTGGCTTCTGGGTGAAGAGCATCTGTTACCAGCTCAGTTGCACTCTTTCCTGGACCAAGATTACTTGGCCACTGTCCACTGTAGTCCATGTGTTCGTAATGCCAAGTTTAGATGACCGAAATGCGTTTTATGTGGATCTGACTTCATGCTCGATCCAGAAGCCACCCCAGTGCAGAATGCAGCAGCCAGGATGCTGAATGGAGCGCATGGCCATGCATATATTACGTTGGTGTTGAAGCAACTGCAACGGCTACCGATTAGCTATTGAGCCAAGTACAAGCTCTTGCTGTTGCCATGTAAAATCCTGACACAGGGAGCAGCTTGCCTGGAAGATAACTTTCCCCAAGGCAGACCTAAGGAGTCATTAAGATCATCAATGGTTAATCTTGCCAGTTGTATGACCTGTGGACCACCATCTTTCAGGAAGCAGTCCTTCATGGAATTATCTCTCTACTGGTATCAGGGAGGCAATAACAAGTTTTTGGTGCCTATTAAAGACCCATTTCTTTTCTCAGACATTTCCTGAGTGAGTGTGCTACACAGACACTTGGTTTCTAATTATATGTTGTAGTGGTTTTTAATTGGTTTCTAATGTTGTTAATATTTTTATCAATGTTTTAATATTATGTATGTAATAATAAATTTACATATAATTGTAATTAATATTCATCATAATATATTGTAATGTTTTGAATTTTCTTGTAAACCATTTAGGAGACATCTTTGAGTATGGACATCTGTATATAAACTATTAAATAAATATACTGATTGCCTTAATAAAAATTCTAGAGGATTGTTTTATACTTTGGATTTATAGCCAAAACCCACCCCATAAAGCACCTTTTGCATCATAGCAAAGATTATTATAGTTCATTATATCTATAGATTATTATAGTCACTCACCTTAGACCTCTTCCAAGCCCAAAGCCAGGCAGCACTCTCTTATTCTGCCAACTGCAAGTACTTTATACTTTTGCCCTAAGCAGGCATCTTGTGACAATTTCCAAATCATTTGGAGATGTCAAAAGTGTGATATTTTGCATAGTTCTTTGAGCAATCAAAAGATGTCTGAGTTGTTATCATACTAGTCCTAAGAGACATGACCTTTTAGAGTTGAGTTTACTCATTAATATATGTTTACTGGGGTGATCACTTGCTTGGACTTCTAAAAGGCTTTTGACATAGTTCCTTAACACAAACTGAGCAAACTTAACAGTCATGTAGTATGACAAAAGTAACCATTTAAAGAGCAGAAAGAAGCAACCAGGAATAAATGGTGATTTCTCCAGACGAAGGGATATACATAGTATGGTCCTGCAGGGATTTAAACTAGGACCAATGCCTTTCAACTGATTCATCATCTGGAGTTCATGAACAGTGAAGTGGGCAAGTTGGTTGATGATTAGAGTACTTAAAACACAAAGGGATTGGAAGGACCTTCAAAAGGATCTTTCTGAATTGGAAGAGCAGGTATCAAAATGGCAAATGTGGTTCAATGTAAGTGACAAGAACAATCAGAGAGTCTGCTGTAGATGCACAATCAAAAGAAAATTCAAACATACAGGAAATAACCTGCAGCATGTAGGTAACTGCCCAAAGGTACTACCAAGATGGAGTCTGTGCAAGGTGGTTTTATAACCTATTAGTTAAATACGAAGTTGAGAGGAGTGTGCGGGATCAGTTTGCTAGAAGCTTTAAAAAGTAAAATAATAGAATTTATTATTATTATTATTATTATTATTATTATTATTATTATTATAACATTTCTATGCCGCCCCTTGCCGAAACCTCGGGTCGGCTTACAACATGATAAAATATGTTTAAGACACAACACAAGATGAAGAACTTTCAGGACAGGTAAATTATTAGCATCTCTGAGGCACACATGCAGAGCAAGACTTGCAGTATGGTTTCTTGATCAGATCAGGAATCTCACCTTAAGTCTAAAGCTGTTCTTACCGTGTCAGGTTTTTAGCAGTCATACTATGGTAGAGCTTTCTCTCATTTTGTCCTGACATAAGCCAGTGATGCACTTTGGGGCAATAAATCCCCACATCAAGTATAAGATCTGAGCTAGTGGTGAGTGATCAAGAGTTATCAGAATTGAGGTGGACAGCTTGATGAAAATGTCAACCCAATCTGTGACAGCTTTGAAAATGGGAAATGCCAAGTTGGGCATAAATAGGAAAGGATCTTGCTGCCCTTATACAGTATTGTGTTCAGTTCCAGTCACCACACTAGAAAAATCTGAGATGGTTAATTCATTCCATTTTATTTATCTCTGTCTCTTTTCATTCCTTGAAGGTGGTGTAAGCAAGCGCTGGTAGGAAAAGAACTGAGAACTGTAAATGAAGATCCCAGAAAAACTGTTGGTGCCTAAAGCTTATTCCATTGCTGACACAGCTGAGATTAAAAGCAGATAGCACATGTTTGGTCTTTTAAACTTCCAAATAAAGTTTTCAGGGGTATAGCTTGCTGCTGGCAAGAAATTCTGCCTTCCTTTGCAGTTTATACAAAGGCCAGGAATCATGCCTCAGGAGGGTTGGGAAAACAATGAAGTATCTTGCTGCTTCCCATACCTCTCCTAGTCTGTGTGACATAAAAAGGGGCAAGCTTGTACCTGCTGTACCCAGTCTGGAGCAGCTTCAAAACTCAGCTTGATGCAACACTCCTTCAAGCAACCCACTGCTGGTCCTTCTCCTATTCCCCTGCCATCTCTAAATATACAGTCAGCAAAATGTAAGGAAGTGGAAAAGCATCCTCCACTTATTGGTTTCCAACAACACATAGAATATAAAATACAGGCAACAATAAAAACATCATAAAATCATGCAAGGTTAAAAAGCCAACATAGAACAAATATTAAAAGCTACAATAGCTTATACAAATCAAATCACAGGATCTGTTTAAGCAGCTAACATCAGCCCCAATATAATTGAAAGGTTATTAAATGGTAGTCTTATCCTAGCACTGAAAAGACATTAAAGTTGGCACCAGGTAGGCCTCAGTGGGGAGGCTGCTCCACAGCTGCGAGGCCAGCACTGAAAAGGTTCTTCTCCTTGTTGCCACCAACTGAGCCTCCCACAGAGGGGGCAATCAGAATGGGCAGAGTTCTTGGTCACAATGACCAGGTACACTGTGGTGGTTGTTGTTAGTCGCGAAGTCGTGTCCGACCCATTGCAACCCCATGGACAACATTCCTCCAGGCCTTCCTGTCCTCCACCACATCCCCCAGAGTCCACTTAAGCTCACACCAACTGCTTCAGTGACTCCATCTAGCCACCTCATCCTCTGCCGTCCCCTTCTTCTTTAGGAGAGGCAGATATTGAGGCTCCTTCTGGACCCATTTTACATACTTGCAGGACAGTTCCAGAGAACAGCATTGAGTGATTATGCCTTGACTCTGCAGCAGTTGAAATGTGGAGTGACACTGGAGACCATTTTCTCTCCAGTGTTGTTCACTATCTAGATAAAACTATTAGGAGTTGTCATCAAGAGATTTGGAATAAGATGACATCCAGCTCTATCTCTCTGTGACATCTGAATCAGGAGAGGTTATGCATGTTCTGAACTGCTGCCTGGATGCAATTACATTTGGATGAGGGCCGATAACTGAAGCTGAACCCTAATAATTAATGTCTATACTGACCAATAGCTGAACCTCAGTAGCTTAGAACAACACTTTAGGTGGTTTACAACAAGAAGACAGAGGTAGATGGGTTGGTAGTTCCCAGATCTAAGAATGGGTCGGCTTGCCTCTTATGCGTAGGATTGCCCTCCCTCTGACTGAAGTGCATTGCTTGCGGGTACTGCTGGAGCCATCTGTGTCACCAGGGGTCCAGGTGACCTCACAGTGTAATGTTCAGGAAATAGGACTGCCTTTGCATCAGGATGAGAAGCTGTGCCTAGTGAAGAATGCAACGTCAAGGGTGCTCAATGGGACATCCAGCTATGAGAACATATTACCTGTATCAAAGGAACTGAACTGGGAGCCTATTAGCCACTGAGCCATATTCAGGCTTATGTTATCAAGTAATACGCTAAACATCCTGAGATCAGTATGCCTAACAGGTTGCCTTCCCTTTTATATACCCAGACAGTATTTAAGATAGTCAAATGAGGGCTTGCTAGTCATTCCAAAATTAACAGAATGTTGTCAGAGGCAACATTGTAGATAGGACTTCTCAGTAGCAGTGCCCACGCTTTGGACTTTGGAAAGCAGAAAATGTGACATGCTTCAAACACTTACTGAAAAAGCAGCTGTTCATCCAGGATTCCGTTAGTGCATGCTTTAATTATGCTGCTCTATTTCTTTCACTGTTCATGTTTTACTGTGCATTTTTGCCCTCAAGAATGTCTTTCCAGAAGCATCTGGTGGATCCAGCAGGATTGGCCCTATGCTCATATACTCAAAAGCCTGGATAATTAAGGGTAGA